ATGCGAAGAAGAAGTTCAAAGCGCAGATCAGGAAGATTTGTGCTATTGTTAATAGGATTTTAGGGAGGATCGATAAGAAGAGAGTGAAGAAATGCATTTTGTATTGTAAAATTCTCGAGAGATCTATTTTAGTCAGGTTGAAGCAGAGGAGGAGGGATGGCTCAAGGTCATGTTTATTTTGTGATCGAGTTGCCACGAGGGAATCGTCGAAGGTATCAGCAGAAACCGTAGTACCAGGACAAGGAGTAGAAAATAATAAAATCGAAGAAAAGAGTCAGAACTTGCTCTCAGATTCCGGAAGCTCTGAAGAGAAATTTTATTCTGGAGAAGATTCTCTGCAATCTGATGTTCCAGAGGCACAGGAGATTTTTGAGAGGCCAAGTGATGATGACAGCAGACATGCCGAGTCCAGTGATAGCCGATTTGGTATTACACGGTGCAGCTCTTTCTATTCTTGCGATTCTCTCCAACTTTCTCAGGCTAGTGAAACGGAGTGGTACAGTGCTCGTGGTGATATCGCAATTTCCGATATCTCCATCAGAAATTCTCGACAATTTCTCCAGTCTTTTAATCCAAAATCAGCGCCGAATATGTTGGAGGGAAAATTGAACGCCCAAAAATCCAATTTAGTTGAAAAAAATACCCCAAACGATGAAACCATCGATTGTCCTGTCCAAATTGCTTCAGACATCCAGTCAAAAATTTCTGATACCCTGAAATCAATTTTTGTTAATGAGCATTCCGATCGAAATTTGGAAACTGCAAAATCGAGATCCATCCAGACCTTCGGAGAATTCCATAAAAATTATTCTGATTTAGAACCTAAAGTACTAAAAATGCTGGAGTCATTGATCACAGAAGCGGAAGCGGCAGTTTCACAGCAGAAAAATTCCCAAAATTCCTCCAGAAAACTCCAAAAAATAGCGGAGCTATCGGACTCCATGAGAAATTCGATCTGCAAGGATGAATGGTCTCAAACTCCTGGAGAAAGTCCGCGAAGATGTTCATGCGGGGAAAAGAAAACCAGATCGATTTTCACTCAGACTTCCCCAAGACGAGAAGTCCCCGAGAATTTCGAAATCGTCGGTCCAAAATCTCCGGGGAAATTCCCTCGACCGAGAAAAATCTTGTCAAGCCCCCAGGAGCCATCAGGAAAATCCGGCGACAGGTCGTCACGGGAGGAGTCAGAAAAAAGATTAGTGAAAGGGACAGATGATCCTGCGTTGATCTGCATCCTCCAGGAAACAGCAGAGAGAACCTTGAGATGTCTGACATCAGCCAGCGAGATCCCACCATCACCGAGCAGATCCGGAACATTCGTGATATCAGGGGAAAAGCTCTCCGAAGTCGAGGACTTCCTCACAGATCTGCACCTCCTGGAGAGCCTCTCCACCCCAATGAACTCCAAACACTGCAGATGCCCGTCAGCAACGCAAAAGCCCCAGTCCTCCGATGAGAATCTTCCAAAGCTCCACTTCCTCCCCGACATCAACAAAAACCTGAGAATCATCCTGAGGACCATGTACAGAAGATTCAAGGTCATCTTCTCTCAGAGGGCCTTCGACAACCTCAGGCATCTCATCAAACAAAAAATCCACAGATTCATCCTGGACAGGGAAAAATCCACCAACACATCACACCCCAGGATGCATTTTCCCCGGGAATTTTCCACCCCTAAAAAATTATTCCACTCAAAAAAATCGGACAACTGGAAAATCGAGGGAAATCGGAAGGATAAAATCTTTTGGAGAAAACGGAGTGATTTCTCTGATGATTTTTCTGGATTTAGATCTGGACGCGGGGGAAATGGGGGAGTGAATAATTTTTTTAGACAAAGGGGTGAAGTCGAGGGGAGATTTTTGAAAAATCCCCTTCCCACTCCTTTCCACCCCTTCCCACTCCTTTCCACCCCTTCCCACTCCTTTCTGCCCCTTCCCACTCCTTTCCACCCCTTTCCACGACTTCCATCCCCTTCCACCCGCTTCCAACCCCCCTTCCACCCTCTTCCAACCCCCCTTTCACCCTCTCCCAACCCCTTTCACCCTCTTCAACCCCCTTCCACTGCCTTCCAACCCCTTCCACTTCTTTTCCCCCTGCACGTTGTTACGTTGAGGTTCTCACAGCGTCATGAGTATTGATCTATCACTGGAACGAGTCTCCCAACCACCCAACGAGCTTCCTTTGGCCACTATCTGAATGAGCCATCCCCCAACCATCCCCATTATCCCCCCAACCACCCCTTCTGCCTCCATAAAAATTCCATTCTCATTTATTTTCTCTTTCCCTTTTCTCTTTCTGTTTGTTTATTTATTTATTTATTTATTTGTTACTGTCTATTCATTACCCATAATTATCATTTTCAATTTTTTCGAGTGGACTATCTCTTTTTTTTAATAATTTATTCTCTTTTTTTTTATTATGCCTTGGAATATTCAGCTGTTAGGATTCCCAACAGTCTCATAATTGTAAAATTATTAAATTAATTCGTGTGTAATTGAATTGTGAAGATTATTGAACTAGAGTTGATTGAGTTAATCAGGCAACTTCAGTTAATTATTTCGTTATTGAATTGGTAATTTGGTTAATTAGGGGGTATATTGGATCTTTTGAAATTTCTGAATTGTTTTTAATCTTTGAAATTGTTTGGTGATCGGTGGAATTGTGCGGATGCATTTTGTCCCATGGGCGCATGGGGATTGATGATCTTGATGTTCAGACGTGGAATTGATGATTCTGAGTCATGATGACCCCAACGACTGGTTAATATGAGCAGAGAAATTGTTGAAGTAAATGGTTGAAGTAAATGATTGAAGTAAATGGTTTAAGTAAATGGTGTGGGTGGGAGTGGTGAATAATTAAAGATTAATTGAATAAAAATTATTGATAAACATGTATAATTGCTTTTTTGATTGTCACGATTTTTTTTATTATATTTTTTAATTCATTTCCTGTAACTTTACCGTTTGAGTCGTTTGAAATTCTTGATCGGTCATATTTTCCAATGAATTAGACCCTCGGAGATGACTATGGCCCACACCTGGACACCCTCAGAACATTTTTCGTCTCGTCCTTGGAGAATCGAATCTACGAAGCCCTCGAGACATTCGTGTACAACGACAAAGAGTTATTATCAAAATTTCCCAACCTGAGAAGATGCGTAAATTTCTTGAAGCTCTTCACAACAATTTACCAGAGCCGAAGAGACCCAGACACTGGATTGCTCGAGCAATTAATGCGCTACAGTTTCAAGTACCTCATCAAGGACGGCTTGATAACCGGTTTTATCAACGCAATTCTCCTCGACAATCGACTTAAGCGAGTCTGCAGGGACCTGGACTCATTGAGTGTTGATAAACATTTTTTTAAATTCTTGCAACTTCCTGGAATCATCAGCAGCAGTGATGAAACCCTCTCCAATGAATCCGGGGAATGTGCTGGAGCCCTGATGATTGAAGCACCTTCTGAATCTGGTGATACCAAAAGAGCAGTTAAAAGAAAAGCTCCAGACGATCCTGATGATCCAATCAGCAGCGAAAAATCATTCGTCGCTTTG